GAGGGTGGGCACGGGGGTGAGCGTGGCGAGGTGAGCGCGGCTTGGGGGGGGGTTGAGCAGGGAGCGGGCGCTGGAGGCGTGTTTGTAGGCAGAGGTGGCCGGGAGAGCCTGTGTGTGCGCGCACGGGGTGTGTGGGGACCGAGCTGCGTGACTGTCCACCCGACACCAGCCCCTGCTTTTGGCGAGCCCGGCCACCTGGTGAAGTGAAACCCGCCACCGCGCAAGCTCTCCGGCTGGCTGCGCCTCAGCTCCAGGTGCTGGCTCTGGGCAGGTCCCAGGGGTGGGGTGGGGGAAGGGCACACACACTGCCCTGACCCCGCATACGAGCTGCTCTCCTCCTCCTGGAGCGCGAGGGGCACCACCTGAAGGTAGGGATTCGACCTCCTAGCCCGCCGAAGTGACCCCAGTACCCAGATCCGAGTCTGGACTCGGGAGCGTGAACTCTCAATCTGGGTCCGTCCAGTCCGTAGGTCAGTCCCTGAAGCCCGTGGATTTCCCACTGCCTAGTGGAACGGACGGTCGGCATGTGCCAAAGGGCAGCGGTCCTCCCTCACCTCCCCCCAGCATCCCTGGAGTGATATGCGACCCAGACTCCCACACTTGCGGTGGCAGAGAATTCGGTCCCCTCCGACTGGGCGGACCCCCGGCTCTAAATTTCCGTGTCTGCGGCCCGATGCCAGGAACCCAGGACCTCGGCCTGGCGCTGGGCAGCAGCACCAGAACGCAGCACTTGAGCGATCACAGCTCTGGGTGCGGAGAGGTGCCTGCCCCAGAGACGGAGCAAAAAGAGAAGTGAGCAGCGAAGGGGAGGGTGTGCTGGAAAGGCTGTCCAGCCGGGCGGGGCCTGGGAAAGGACCTCTCTGATCCAGAAGGGGGCTTCTCGCTTGTGAGAGCCCCCATCCTGTTCCAGATTAAGGGGGGAGGGCAGGTCATTGTGATGTAGGTCCCAGTGGCCCCTGGGAGCTTGGAGCCCCCCTTTCACTCACTCTTCCCACTCTCCCCAAAGACCTCACCAGAGTGTCAGTCTGAAAGGCGCACAATTGGCCCTTCAAGAGGTGGGCGTGGGCTGCACTAGCATTTGCCTGGAGTCCCCAAGCCCTGTGGGATTTGCATACTGATTTGCATACAGTAATAATGATTAACAACACTGCCACTCCCTGGCAGACAGGGGAAGAATTCAGGGAAGGCCCTGGCACTGCTTCCATTTCCCTCCTCCCTTCCCTCTGGGGGAGAGTGAATTTTCTCCCCACTGCTGGCCTCAACTTCTGTGCCCCCCTGGGAGTGCCCCAGAGCAGGTGGAAAGGGCCAGGAGGGGCCCTCAGTCCCACCCCCAAGTCCACCTCCAGACAGTTAAAACCCAGTATTTTATTTCTGCCCAGGTTTGAACTCTTGTACATCCCCAGGTGACATGTGAATCTCGGAGGTACTCAGCAGCTGGGTCTGCCCCAAAGCTTGGAGGCTTTGGGGAGCAGTTAGCTGAGAGCATCCTTCCTCCTCAGAGAGGTCACATGATGGGCCACCTGCTGTCCTGATCTTGTTGCCCTGCTTGAAGGCAGGACACTGATTCAGACAACTCCCCCCATCCCAACCCCTCCCCACACACCTGGCCCCCATTCCTCCCAGGCTCTCATCTGATCGTTTAAGTGAACTATCTGTAGATTATATTTTCCTTTCGGTTGAGAAAAATCTATAGGAAAATATGAAAGATTTGAATTCCTACTCTAGGCCAGCTTGGGTTTTATTTACGGCCCTTCTCACAACCAGGTGACCTGGAAAATGAGAGAGAGCAAGTGAGGGGCAGAAGGGAGGCCCTTGACTGGGAGATGGGCCCTCCTCCCTCCCTGGCTCCTGCCTCCCCTGCCTCCTTCCATGGGCCTCGCCCTCCTCCCTCTCTGCCTCTGGCCTGGCCTGGCCGGGATTTTCACTTGCTTTTCCCCCATGACACGGCCGCTTTTCCTTTAACGCTCAGCTTCTATTTAAAAAGCTAATTTGGGAGCTTGTCGATGCTCCCAATTCAGACAGTTTAAATAGGAACAGAAAGTCAGGAGCTGCCAGGGCACTAGGTTTCCTCCCCTCGCCACAGGCACAGCTAAGGCATTTGTTCAGTCACTTAGCTGGCCCTGGGTGGAGTGTGTGTGTGGGGGGGGGTGGGGGGGGGAGCGCTCAGGGTGTATTTCAGGCTCTTTTCTATTTAAAGACGGTGCTCCTATGGACAACTGTTGTCTCTCTCTGTCCTTTCCAAACTGTGCACACATGAGATTCTTCTTTAGTCCCGTGGTTCTGGCTGCTATTTGCAGAGCTTGTCACCGTGTGGACTGTGAGGCAACCCAGCTCCAAGTCTGCAGCCCCTTCGCTGACACGCCTGTGTGGCTATTTCCTGGGCTGTTCTGCTCAGGCTGGCTCTTTGAAGCCATGCCTCAGTGTGTCTAGAACGGTGGCCCCCACCCTCACTGCTTGTGGCTGTCCTACTTCAGCAACCTGCCCCGTGATGGGATGGGAGTTGGGAGGGTTGGACTGTACCTCTGAGTGCTGCAGGCCTTCTACATTCAGGGTGCTGTGTACCTTGGAGGTAAAAAGCACAGACTTTGAGGTCAGACTGCCTGGATGTGAACCTGCCTCTGCTATTTACTAGCTGTGTGATCTTGAGGAAGCTACTTAACTTCTCTGTGCCTTGATTTCCTCATCTGCTATAAAATGGCAATACATAGTACTGTCTACCTCAGTGATGGCGAATCTATGACACGGGTGTCAGAGGTGACATGTGAACTCATTTTTTTGGTTGATTTTTCTTTGTTAAATGGCATTTAAATATATAAAACAAATATAAAAAATATAAATGTTTGTTTTACTATGGTTGCAAAGATCAAAAAATCTCTATATGTGACACGGCACCAGAGTTAAGTTAGGGTTTTCAAAATGCTGACACGCCGAGCTCAAAAGGTTTGTCATCACTGGTCTACCATATGGGATTGTACTATCACAGATAAAGCACTTAGAACAGTACCTGGGGCATGGGAAGTGTGATATAATTGTTGGTTGTCATTGTTGTTCAAGGCAGGAGAGGTGGGAGCAGGAAGTATGAAGAAATCGCCTGGGGCAGACGCGACTGCTGGACTGTACACACAGACACAAGCAGACACACATGCCCAGGCATATGACTATAAAAACGCCACAGCCCACAATGGGTCAAGTTCACCTTGTGGAGACAGTTGATTCTCTAAGCTCCAGAAGAGAGACTCCTGATGAAGGAATAGAGAAAGAGCCACAGGGATGGGGATAGGGAAGAGGCTGGGCCTTGTCAGAATTCCCTGGGGCCTTTCCTAGGGGCCAATTTACCATATGGACTGCCTTCCCTTATTTACCTCACCACGGAGAGCAAGGGGAATGGAGATCCATGAGGGACTCAGTAGGGATGGTCTGCCAGTCTCCCCGAGCCTCCCCTGGGCCTTGGTGCCCTCTCCAGTGGACCCTGCCATTGTCTCCCATCCCACTGCCCACACCTGACCACATGGACATTTACTCAGTCCCTGAGCATCTAATGAAGGTACAGAGAGGTTAAATGGCTTCTCCAAGGTCACACAGCTAGGGATCCAGGAAGCCACTAGCAGGAGGGGGCTCTAGATGCCCACATGGCGGAAGGCTCTCCAAGGAATCCAGAGCGACAGTATGAATTGCTGGATTGTACTGGTCTTGGCATTGCTCTTGTGAGTGGAGGAGCCACCACATTCTGAACTCCTTGCTGGGTCTCCAATAACCCTGCACCTGAGATATTACCACCACCTTATGGCTGGGAAACCTGGAAGGGGAGGCTGCATGGGGAGGCATCCCAGGCCATACACCCAGTCTGAAGCTCTGAACCCTCCCTCTTGCCTCTCCCCTGGGCTATTGGTATTTTCTCTTCTGAGAACAGAATGGCCCCTCGGTCAGATGAGGGCCAGATGTCACAGAGAAGGTCTGCCCTAAGACAATGCTCTTGACCTGGCTCTGCGGGGCTCTCCTGTGTTTGACCTAAGGAGGTTGGATGGGGTGGGGCCCAGTGTGTCCAGACTGGTGCTGGACGCTCTGAGTTCTCTTCAAGGTGAGGTCTTCCTGAGGAATCCCAAAGCTGAGGGGTGCCTTGGCTTTCTCTTGTTTCCCAAGGTGAGGTGGGTGGCAGGGTTGGCAACACTGAAAAGCTTTGCCCTGGTCTCAGAAGATCAGGGGTTGCCTGCTGGGTATGGCCCAAACTGTCCAGCTTGGCCAGGCCAGGAGGTACTGTCCAATATTGGTGCCCCTGATGGCTGGACTCTCACAACCATCAGATGCACCTGGTCCTTGCTGAGGAAGTGCGGGAGCCCTCACTTCTTGCCACCTTCACCCCATCTGGGAGGTCTAGGTGATCACTGCATTAGTCAAAATGCTTGGACCAGTTGTAGCAAATGAGTGGTGGTCAAGATCGGTGGCCCCTGTGGAGCTTCCGAAAGTCCGTCTTTGCAGGAAACCTTTGCCATCCGGACACGTGCTCCAACCCAGGCAGGTCCTGGGGAGGCAGAATCTCAGTGGGGGCTTTCTGCTCATTGAGACGTCCCTCGAAGGGAGAGGCGAGGGGAAGGAAGAGGAGGGAGGGGAGGAAGGAAAGCAAGACTGAGAAGGGGACACAGGCACTGGGAGGAAGAGAAACACCCCCACCATTTGTTCAGTGCTTTGCCAGTGACCATCTGCAGGAGGGTGGCTAGAGGCCGCAGGCACTTTGCTCTCCTCTGGTGGCTCCTTGCTTTGTGCACTGATGCTTCCCAGGGCTGTCCTTGTCCTCCGTTTCTTCATCTGTCCTTTTCCCGGGAGAGCTGATGGAATCCACTAGTTTCAAGTTCATTCTCATGCTGACAATCCCTTCCTGAGCTCTCCCTAACTATCCAGGTGCTCCTCCACCTTTGCACACAGCCACCTCTTGGTTTCATCTTGCCACCCTCCTGCAACCTTCTGCAATGTGGATTGTTCACTCTAAAATACCCTGTTCCAATCATGTCGTCTCCCTCGCTTCCTTTCTGGCCTTAACCTTCTTCCACCTTTCTTCCCAGCACATAGATCTTTTCTCTGTTACCTGACCAGAGCATATGCATCACACCTTCGTGCCTTCATACATGCTGTACCATCTTCCAGAAATACCCTCCACCACTTCCTATTTGCTTCTGTCTTCCTAGTGAACTTCCACTCGGCAGGAAACCTTTAATACCCAGCCCAGAGGTCACATGAGACGTATTGGTAAAGTCCACCCCCATTCCCCACTTGGGCTTCCACAGTCCCTCCTCATACCTCAAACGTAGTTCTTACTACCTTAGTTGTTTGCGTCGTGGTCTCGCTCTCTGGCTTTATGCTGGGTTAGGCAAGGCCATTGCTTAGCCATCTCTGAAAGTGCTAGCTCAGTGTGTGGCACATCGCGGACACTCAATAAACTTGCGTTAGGAATTATTTCAGCTTTCATTCACATAGCTCCCTTGACTGTGTGTAATTGAGATCGTGCAATACATTTGTCAACTGGTCAACCTCTAAGTCCTAACTGATTGATCTAAGGGCTGGCATGAGGACAGAGAAAGGATGAGGGTCCGATTTGGGGCTAATCCTGGATGTAATGAGCCCCAAAGACACCTGCCTCCTTCGGCCTTTTTCAGCTCTACAATATGAGCCTCAGTTGATGCTGTTTGCAGAGACCTAGCCAGTGATCTGCTCTTGAACTAGATTAGTTTTCAGGGAACTCTTCCCTTTCCTTCCTGGCACAATGTCAATCACATCCCTAGAATCTCACCTTCTTGGAAACAGCCAGGATGTGGTCAGTGGGCAATGCACGTGGATCGCCTGCAGCTGTGACTGTGCCTGCCCATAAAACCAGCCTGGGGGCCTGTCAAAGCCTATTAGCCAGAACCCTGGCTTGGCTCAAGGAGATGCTCAAACCAAAGCTTACTGGACCAGAAGTTTAAAATTGTGTCAAACCCACATGACTAACCTGGGACAGTGGAGGCTTAGTGGCCAGAACATGGGCTTGGGATAGACCTGGCTTCAAATCTTGACTTTATTTTACAAGTCGTGTGACCTTGGGTGAGCCTCTTTACTTCTCTGATCTTCAAATTCCTGTGACATGGGTTCTAACGATGGCACCGACTCATAGGGCTTGTGAGGGCTGACTTAGAGAAAGTATATAGGACGTCTCATATGCAATTATAAATAAAATTATATTGGCTGCGCCCTAGCTGGTTTGGCTCAGTGGATAGAGCATTGGCCTGTAGACTCAAGGGTCCCAGGTTCGATTCCAGATCAAGGACACAGGCCTGGGTTGCGGGCTCGATCCCCAGTTGGGGGCGTGCAGGAGGCAGCCGATCAAGGATTCTCTCTCAACATTGATGTTTCTATCTCTCTCTCCCTCTCCCTTCCTCTCTGAAATCAATAAAAACATATTTTAAAAAATATTGCTGCTATAATATTGTAAATGAGTTTACATGTGTTCAAAACCAGCTCTTTTATGTCTTGGGCACAGCTCTCTACAGTGCTAGTTTGTGAGGAAGTTTAGGAAGGTCACTCAAGTGTTTCCATGTGGTTATTGCTCATACTGAGACCTCAGAAATGTGTAAAGTCAGAGAAGTTTATCTGTATATATGTTTGTTTGTTTTTTAGCAGTGGTCTGCCTTTATCTAATGGGCAGTACTGTGTTCCAGGCATTTCCTGGTAGTAAGTACAAATAAAATCATGAAATTATTAAGCCTTCAAAACATGACTCCTGAAGCAAATACATTTTTCTATTAGCTCCTCTCTCCATCCTGTGGCACCCCACTTCTGCAGCCTTAAGCTTCAAGTGCCTCTCTCTCCCCAGTCCCTCCTCCTCAGCAAGAACTGTTAAAATCATTTAAACTAAAGTGTATGTGACTATCCTGTTCAGAGATACAGTATTCACCTTTTAAGAGACCACAGCCTTAAGCCACAGCAATAAAACAGAGTAGGATTTTAGGTACCCATCAGAGAAATGGAGGCTCTTCCCAACTCCACAGTCAATGTCCACTCAGAAAACCGGCCCCATTAATGCACCCATAAACACCAACATGGGCTGTTTCTGAATTCTGCAGCTAGAAAATCAAGTCTCCAACCTTTGCAAAAGCACTGTAATAAGGGGATTTGTGCACCATTTTTTGGTACCGCTGTCTTCTTGGACAAGCTCATGAGTGCCAAGGCCCCTCCCAGCTCTGCACACCTATGATGCTTATATTCAAGTGGATTTTTGCTTCAGAGCTCAAGGCTGGGGTTGGGTGTTTCTGCCTCAATGGGTTTGAGGGACACCCAGCTGCAAAACTGCTCATTGCTTTGGTGAGTCAACAAGTAAACAAAAGACTGTCCATCTTCTGTCCTCATAATGCAAGGTCATAAGAGGTTTCTGGATTTCTCTGCAAAGCCTTGTTAAAAGGATCCTCATGGCCCTTTCAAAATTCTTCATTATGGAAAATTTCAGACATACAAAAGAAGAGAGAACGGTGTGATACACCCCCATGAGCCCATCCTTTAGCTTTGATAATTACCAACTCAGGCCAACCATGTTTTATCTGTACCCCTACTCACTAGTACCTCCCCCCCCAATAATGAAGTAAATTTCAGATGTCATATAATTTCATCTGTAAATATTTCAGGAATTGTACCCTCCTTAAGGCCAACAAAACCCATCTCTCCAGGGAAAAGTCCCTTTCTATCTTCCCAGAGGTAGTCCTGGGTTAGGCAAGTTCAAGGGTTTGCTGAATTCTGCCCCAAGTCAGTCCTGCTCTGTGGGGAGAAAGGGGCAAGCATAAAATGCCATGCAGTGGTGCCTATGTGTGCAAGTTTTTTGAAGTTGTTAGGGCTGCTGCCCAATAATTGAAATGAGACCCAAACAGAGAGGCAAGAACCATATTCATGAATCTCAACGGGACTCAGCATTTTTCACATTTAACCTTCACCAATTCTTATTTTCCTCCCATCTGACAAATAAGAAATTTAAGGCCTAAGATCACACAGCTAGAAGGTCTCTGCGGCAAAGACTGACTAGATGCTAACCAAACCTAATTCCTCTTTTTCATGAGCATAGCAAGAGCACATTTACCAGGATCCCTTGCAGCTAGGTTTGGCCATGTGACTAAATTCTGGTCAAGGTAATATAAGCCAGTTCCCTAAAAACATCCAGGGCAATCCTGCATGCTCTTTCTCCATCCACTGGCTGAATGGAGAGAATTTCAAGGACAAGAAGGAAGAAGCCTGGTTCCTTGGGTGACTGTGTAGAGCAGAGACCCCTCCTAACCTTTATTGGTCTGTGAAATGAGTAAAAAGGTAAACTTTTATTTTGTTCTCATCTATTATGTGAGGCCACTGAAAATTGGATGATGTGTGTTAATGCAGTAATCCTACCCTGACCAATACAGTGGCACAAATGGGATTTAAACCATAAGTTTAACTATGCCAACGTTCAAAGTCTTGCCCTGCACCACACTGCCTTCAGGCACAAGAGAACCAATTATAAGACTTTTCTACCTGTTCAGCATTTGATAGAACTGTCTGCAAGGATCTCACATTTTCAATTTGTGTGTCTCATACAGTAGCCACTAGCCATGTAAGGCTATTTTAATCCAAACTAAAATTATAGTAATTAAAATTTTAAAATGTTTCTTAATTGCACTGGTCACATTCAAGTGCTCAATAGCGACCTGTGGCTAATGACTATCACAGTGGACAGTACAGATGGAGAACATGTCCATCATCATAGAAATTCCCACTGGACCACGCTGTCTTCAGTAGACCTGGCATTCACGATGCACCTCTCCCGAAAAGTTGGGGTGGTGCTAGCAATCAGGATGCCTCCAGCTTCACAGGCCTCTCTCCTTACCCAGACTGTGGGTCCATACTCCTCCTCCTCTAGGTAACCCTCCAGCTGTAATCTCGGGGTCCCCCTGTCCTGTCCTCACTGGCAGCGGGCTTTGCCATGACCTCCCCACACAGAATGAGCGCTGCCTGGCTCTCACTGAGCCGCGTCCGCAGGTGCTGAGCATCTGAAACCAAGACACTGGCAGGGGTCCTGGGGCCGTGCCTCCTGGCCTGGGCTAGGGGTGCCCAGGGTTTTTTCCAGAAATGAAGCCCAGCCAAGGAGGCGAGTACTTCAGTCCATCTTTGCAAAACACAAACCCCACCATGTCGCCCCCTGGCTGAAATCCTGATAAATCCCCTCCAAATTAAGCAGACATCTCCTGACACATCTGTTTCGAACGCTTGTTTACTTCTGCTGCCTCCCACTTTTTCCTCCTGGGCCCCGGGACCTTGTGCTCTGGCCACATGGAAAGTGCTGTCGATCTGAAGCCTGCCGGCTGTTCTTTTATCCCCGAGTGTTTGCTCAGGCTGTTCCTTCTGCAGGAACTCCTGGCCCGCACCTCTGCTTAGCCAAGCCTTAGGCTAAGCTTGGAAGCACCTCTCCCTGGAGGCCTTCCCCACCTGCAGCAGCGTGGGACAGCCTCCTCCTCGCAGCCCTTGGCCACCTGCCCCACCCGCTGCAGAACTTTCCACACTTGCCAGGCTTCCCCGGGGAGCAGGAGGAGATGCTTGCAGTTGCTTTAGGAATCAAAGCAAAGCCATCTTGAGGAGGTTTTTCTGAAGAGACTAATCCTTCTTAATCCCTCAAAACTATGAGTCTAGGTTTCTCTCTCCCCTCAAAACGCGCACACATACACACACGTACACACGCACACATGTGCACTCACATACGCATACACACCCACATGCACACACGTGTGCACACAGGCTTCCCATCCATTTAACTCCTCTGCAGTCACCAGGGAGACAAGTGGTCCCTGTAAATCACAAGCCTCGACGCCCAGAGACCTCTGCTCCTTGATCCCGACCACCTGCTCAGAACAAATGCCACTAAATCCACGAAACAAGCCCTCTCCCCCTTCCTACCTGCCACTGTCTCGTCGTCCTGCTCTCAGGCTAGGGTGTGGCAGCTACAACCCCAGCCGGTGCCCCCACGCACCGTGGGCCTTCCCTCCATGGGCGGTTGTTACGGGGGTCAGGGCAGGCAGAGGGGGTGGATGCCAACTCCCGAGACAACATCACGATAAATCGCCACGGCGGCTCTTCCAGGGCTCCAACCTAGTAAATCAAATCTATTGAACAATACATTCACTGCGAATTTAAGAAGTTGTTCTTCCATTTTTTTCAGTGTATGTGTTAAATCATGCCCAGCGTCATAAAAAATGGAGACAGCCAGGCTCCGTGTGAAAAACACAATCCCCAAACAACCACATGCTTAAAGAAGTTAGAAGATGTCTCGTCCTCTCTGAGGCTCCACGGGCGCTCTTCCCACCCAGACAGACGGGAGCCCCCAAAGTGGTAAGCGCGTGACATTTTAACTAATGCCTGAGTTATTTTGCAAATACAGGTTCACTGTTAGAGGCTGGCTCTTTGCTACAGATTCCTGAAATGGACAAAAAAGGAAACACACAGCCTTCTCAGCCAAGCCCAGTGCTGCTCAGAGGGGTGGGACGGTGGCGAGGGAAGCGTGAGGGGGAGCAACTTACAGACTGTCTTCTCAGGGAGATTTCTTTTGCTTCCCAGTTCTCCCTATTCACATGCTATGGAGTTGAAATTCCAACTTAAGGTGCCGTTTTGCCCAGGAGATGTGAGTAGGCTTTTTCTTATCTGCAACACCCCCATCCCACCTAAATATTAGCAGGGGAACCCTGGGGCAGAGTCTGGCACTTAATAAACATTTAAATTGAATGAACAGGTCTTCATCCAATAGCATTAGCTCAACACACCGCCCATTCTGTGGTGAGCAAGGCGGGCACAGGCCTGCCTCCTCAGACCCCTGCACTGGTGTCAGGCTACTAAACCTCATTGTAAGTCACTGAAGCCTGAGGGGTGAGGAGAAGCTAGATTTGAAAATTCTCAAAACGATCTCAGGTAGATGTATTATCATTTCTCAGATGAAGAGTTGGAGGCGAGTGTCCCACAGCTGGGGCAGTGACAAAGCTAGCGTGTGTGATGGGGTGTGGCTGACGGCCAGGGGATCACGGGCAGGAGATACCGGGGCCAGCCCGAGGGGCCAGGGAAGATGTGCTGGAGGAGATGACATGTAAGCTGAGCGTGGAAAGAGGACAAGGAAGCAGCCAGATGACCGAGGGGGTGAAGTGGACACCAGACAGCCAAGACAGCAGGTGTAGTGAGCTCAGGGGGTGCCCATAGTGCGAGGCCAGAGGCAGGCACGCTAAGGGCTGGGAAGCATGCTGCGGAGCTGGGCTCCAGCCTGCAGGCCGCAGGGGCCGCCCGAGGGCCCAGACACACGCAGATGCAGTCAGATCGGTGCTTGAAAACCTCTCCAGCCAGCAGTGTGGAGGATGGATTTGAGGAGGACCAGATGGGAAGCAGGGGGACCAATTAGCAGGAAAGAGAGGTTGAGGGGCTCAGCTATGGCTGTGGAGCTGGGCATAGAGAGTGGGGCGTGAGAGGAATATGCTGGAGACGAACGTGATCAGGATTCTGACTGGTTGGATGGAGCAGCCCGGAGCGTTTCAGGTCAGGCTGTGCTGCCCAGCCGGGTGACCATGCCTGACTGCCCGACTGGGGGAAGGCAGGCAGAGCGGCGGGGGTGCAAGTGCAGCCTTCCTGGAGAGAGGAGTGGGCACAGTTCCCTCTCAGGTCCCTTTCCAGACAGAGCTGTGTATGCTGGGCTGGAGGAAGGTGCCTGTGGGGACATCTGAGACCTTCAAGCAATGCTGACCCTAGGACATAGACAGGGCATCCTAAGACAGGCTCAACACTTCCTATGGTTGGAGGGGAGTAAGTTTCCAAAATAAGGCTGAACAGTATAGAGGCGGATAGGACTGCTGATCGCCTGCGAGATAAGAGGAGAGGAAACTCCTGGACTCATCCCCTGCCATCTCCTCTCCACCCCCTTATCGCCCCCTACCAAGCATGTGTGTACACACACACACACACACACACACACACACACACGCTTCATAATCCCTCAACTTCCCACCTCCCCCAGCACACCAGCCCTTTCGCACTCCCTCTTTGTGCCGGCTGTTCTCTCTGCCTGCAGTCGGTTCTCCTCCTCCACTGGGCAGATGTCCCCCTCCTTCCAGCCCAGCCCAGATGCCAGTCCTCTCTGATGCCCAGCCCACTGCCCCAGGCGTCCTCACTGTGCCTCCCCCTCCTGGTGACTTCCTCCGAGGTCTTCCTTCATCACCAGCCTGAGCTCCTGAGTCTCATCTGTCTTGGCTTCTGTGGCAGCTGCACAAGGTCTGACCATCGCTGGTGCTCAGATTTGCTTGTGGGATGAATGAGCACATCCCTGGAGGGGGGCCGGGCACACCTTCCCCAGCCCCGTCCCAAGGCCTTCGCATCGTGAAGGAGGATCCTCTCTGCCCTCCGGATGCTCCTGTGTCACATGGGAAATATGCCCACACACGAGAGAGGGCCGTAAAAGCAGCGCCTGCGTCCGTCCTCAGTCCTGCCTGAACAGGTCTATTATTTCTCTGCAATTGGCCTTAATTTTATCCCCATTCTACAGATGAGGGCTCCACCTTTGGGGAAAGCAACAGCTCTTTTGGGCTGAAGATCATTTTGGGGCAAAATGAATAGATGAAGGAGACCATTTGGGGTTCTGCCCTTAACTGAGGTTCCCCAGGCTGAGCACAGCTGGCCGAGCACGGCTGGCTGGCTCAGGTGAAGGCCCCAGAGAGCAGGGCGTTGGTCATTTGCCAGGTGGCCTGCGCAGTCCCTCTGGGTTTCTGACTGGCTTCTGGGGCAGGAGGGGACTGACCATTGTGACCAGCTAGTCAGCCCCCTGGGCACCTTTCCTGCCTCCCTCAGGCTGGGCGCCTCCATCTGGCAAAGGTGGTGCTCACAGCAGGGAAAAGACGAGGGCCAGGTGGGACTGGAGCCACTGTTGTCATCTCGTCATCGTTATCATCACCACGAATTAATGACACCACCAGTGACACCGTGACCACAAGCCCTGGCGTTATGTGCCACGCACTGCGCTGACTGACGCCTTACACGCATCCCTATTTTTCAGTCCTTACGGCACTTCTGTGAAACAGATACTGTCTCCATGTGTCAGTGGAAAAGCCCAAGGCACAGAGAAATCCAGCCATTGGCTCAGGATGGTTAGCAGAGCTGGGCCTTGAAACCAGCCTGAGTCCAGAGCCCCTACTCTTAGGTATTGCTCTGTGGGGAGCGGCCGAGGCTGAAGCACCCTGCCAGCCACGGAGGACACAAGTGGGGAGGAGACGGGAGGCCAGGCCTGCTCGTAGCTCAAAGCCCCACATCCCTTCCAGGCCTCTCCAGCTCCCGGCAGGGATGGGCATCTGCTCCTCGGCAGGTGAGAGCTCTGAGGAGCCCCCGAAAGTGCAGGTGAGTGGGGGTTCTGGGTAGCTGAGGGCGGTGTCCTTCCAGCCCCCCAGCCCCGGTCACCATTCCCCCAGCCACGGCCCGTGGATTGCTGCCTCTCTTGGATGCCTGGCTCGCTGCTGTCTGGAGCCTAATCCCCATTCTGGTGGTTTTGGTTGCTATGGTAATTGAATTCACTTAAAGTTGTCTCCAAGTGAGTCTGTCTCCCTTTCTGTCCGCAGCCTGGGAGGGCAGGAGCCCAGGGCTGAGGGCAGGAAGGAGGAGGCTTGGTGGCCTGTGTGTTTCTCCTCATTCAGATGTCCTCCTCAGGGGCCAGCAGAGGAGGACCATGGAGAAGTGCTCCCTCCCATCTCTCTCCATCTTCCTCTTCGCCACCTTGCCCTCCTGCAGAGCGTGGAACTGTCAGGCCAGGACTGGTG